CTCAAGAGTAGAGGGTTTCGTTACACAGGCCGTACAGACAATAGAATAAAGGCTTTTACTTGTCATCTTCGTGTTCGCGATGGTCAAGAGTTGTAGTGTGCAACATCTGTGCACCGGGCCCCAGTGCATAAACCGGGTTTTCAGCAAAAATATGTCGCTTCCTTTAATCAAAATATGCCGGAGGGAAAATGTCTGGTGATCGAATGCTTGGTAGTCTGTAGGAAGTGCTGTCACAGCGTTGATACGGCTTATTGTACGCCATTCTATAGAAGCGGCAGTGGGGCTTACCATTCATGAACCATGGAAAAGCACCGACAGAGAACAAGTACTCCCACGTGCGAGCTTAGTTTAAAAAAAAAAAAATGTTGGAGCGATTTCCTTTTTCTTGGCGCATCATTCAGGAGTATCAGTTTCCAGAAATCATGCGCGGTGAATAAATATTTGTAGTACTTTAACCCAAATATATGCGACTTAACAACCACCTCATACTTCAGCTATATAATGAAAACATACTAGAATTCCAAGACTAAGAAAAAAAAGCTATGGAATACACTGCACGCCTTTTTATAGCAGATGCACGTTACGTACGTCATTGTGACCACTACCAATTCCCTCTCGGAGTGAAACTGTGCATGCTTGTGTGCGTGTGTCTGTAGAAGATGTTAAGATCGGCCTCTTTGGCTCGGCGCCGCTTGGACGCGGGGGACGATTGCAGCTAACTGAGCTAAGCCTACCCTAATTTGTTCCAGGTCAACGCTCTCGAGGTGCGCCAAGACAATCATACTTCAAATTCTTCAACACAAAAACGATAGTCATACTTCGAATTCTTTAGGGCTGTTGGCTCCCCTCGTCAAAAACTCTTTGGACACGCCTGACTGACTGACGGCCTAGGAAGAGCTGTTTGAAATCGAGGCTGCTTGATTTGTTTGTTGTGCCAAGAGACGCGCTGAACAATCAGCCGAGAGCTTGAGATCCGTCATCAGGTATGTTTCCCACACTCTGTGGGGCTTTCAAGTCTTCCATTCCCAGAGCCCATAGCCTGCCTAGCGCTACAGACCCTATTCTGTACGTGCGATGCAACGTTATTGCACTCTGCTGTGACCTACGTTGTGCTTCTCCCTCACCATGTAACGAACTGAACGTGCACAATCTCCCTTTCCTGGGTTGAAAAGAAGGCAGTCTTTGACTTTCTCTCTCTTTCTCCCTCTCGTTTTTTTTACCCTTATTCGCTGCGCCGTGCTCCCTGCTGGGCTGCAGAAATTAAGCGCCTTCTTCTAACCACTACCCCCACCATGTGGGGGACGGAGATGAAGACGGCCATTTCTTTGGACTGCCCTGGACTGAATGGACATGCAGTCTGTCCGTTTACAGTGATATGCAAGGCGGCTTTTCTATAAGGTTTATTTTCCAACCAAAAACTCTCGTTCACAGACTGCTTTTCTCCCTCATTGTGCCTTTACCTTTTCGAATTCTAGCGAATGCACGCGAGTACAACAAAATGTCACCTCTCCAAATTCCAGCGAAGGCACGCGAGCACAACAATATCTCAAAAAGGTGAATGGCAAAAACAAAATGAGCGAGAAAAGCAGTCTGTGAACGAGAGTTTTTGGTTGGAAAACTAACCTTACAGAAAAGCTGCCCTTGCAGATTATTGCAAACTGTCCATTGTTTTCTCCAGCAGAGAATTTTAGGAAGACCGCGGCTTAAAACGCGAGCACCGAGACGCTCTGAACCAGCTCTCGGAAGCTCTCATCAAGCTTCCATGATGCTGCCATCAACATATAGTATTACGCTACCCTTAGTGTGTAAATAGTTAACGTTGCTCTAATCAGCACCGGCTACTCTGCTTGACTTCTACTTGACACTTGGCTAGCTCCTTCGAATACATCACGAGCAAGCAAAAGGGCACGGAGTTGTTAAGATGAAAATGTGCAACATCACATCGCTTTTATTACGTGACCTATTCGTTCTCCGCTGCATTCGTCCGATCATGCCCACATATAACTTTCCAGTTTTTATAGCGACGACGCACCGTTGATTGCGGTCACGTCATTGAATGTCAATTAAACAGCAGTTGCATTATTTATTTGCAAATTACTTCTTCATAAAGTATGGTGAAGTAATTTATTATTTGGCCACCTAAGGAGCTTTCGAACTTGACTTACTCTTTTTATCAAGACTTGAATGTAATGTTAAGTTTTATTTGGTTGATTTTGAGCATTACCTTCGCAACAGAAGTACACCTGTCAGCGACAATCATTCTTAACCTCTCCCAGTGCCAGTAGGTCCGTTCAAGTTACGTAATGAAAACCAGTTTGCTGGACTATGTCATATATGACATGTCGCTCAAATTTCGGTCTCTGCATTTTTGATGAATCCAGCCGTCTTTTGTAAAGTCTCCACTGGCAAGTTTTTTTATTTTGTTTTGTTATTTTTAAAACTGGTGGCGTCAGACAAGCTTATTACGCCGCTTCTCACCACTGGATAGCCGTTGTTACGCGCGGCGCCTGGGCCGACGGGGGAGGGCCGCGTTCTTTGTTCATCAAACAAGTCACCGAAGGGCTGCCAGCCTGCTGTCCACCGTGTATCGTCAATCTTAGCCGGGAAGTGAGGTGGCATTCCGACAACATAATACGTTCGACGAGACGATCACAATGGTTTCTTGGTGTCACAGGTGCAGTGTGGTGGCCACGCCCCAAAGATCTTGACTTGAGCGAGCGTGAGCGGCACCGTCAGAAATGGTGTGTATGTCTCGTGATTCAACAGCGCATTCACCCATTCCCTCCTTTAGTCAAAACGCACACTTTATAGTGAGCCACCCAGCTCATTCGCAAGAGATCTCTCGCCCTGTCTGTACAGAATGTAATAAATCCTCTGTTAAGTTTGCTGTCTTACTCCTGAGTGCACATGCGTTTTCCTTTCTGTCTCTCTACAAGCCCTTTCTTGCCCCTATTTCTCTCCCCCCCCCCCACAGTGCTGGACAGCAAACCGGATGCCAAGATATGGTTAATTCCCCAGCCTTCCTTTCTCTCTCTTGCCATCTTACTGCCTTGGCATCTTCATCCCGGATATCCAGTGTCTTAAAAGGCCGGTACAAATAGATAAGTTAAAGAATAAAACAGATGGTGAATATTTTCTGCATGTTCAGACGCTGCATATAAGTGGTCACCCTCGAAAATTATCAACTTTAACACCTTGGACAGGTGCTGATGTACCCTGAGTAGCTTCGAGCATGTATTTAGACTCGACGCTTTTAATCTTCATTAAACTTCTACCTTTCGATTTCATCCTTCGGGGCTTTATGTAGTTCTCCATCTAACGCGCTGCACTGCTACCACTTCATTTCTTCTGTATATACGAACTGTTTCGGGCACAATTACAGGCTGCCACCTTGGATTGATAATGATGCCATTTTGCATCCGTATGAATATTCGAATAGTGCTATGGTGAACTCGCACGCATCAAAACACTGGGCCACTACATTCAACGTCGTATGACCATAATCATAGCTAATTACAACACAAAAAACAGCAAAAATTGCTTTTAAGCTTAAGATGGCAGTGTATATGCTTCACTGTGACTGTTACACTTATTTTTTGTCAATTTGTCCAATATGTCATTTCATGCAGCGGCCGCCGAACTTGTGCCGCTGTTCATAGTGGTACTCTCGGTTTCTGAAGCTGGATGAAGATAACTAAGAAGCCTGATTTTTACTGGCTACATAAAATGTGAAACGAAGCTATGAATCAAGATGAAAAAGAAGACAAATCTGTGAAAAGTCCGTGCTGGCGCATAAATGGCGCGCCGATGAAAAACGTCGGCGACGGCGGCGTGGCGAAAACTCTCGGCGGCGGCGCGCCGACCAGTCGGCGCACACCTCTAGTTACTCCACAGAACACCTATGTTGAATTCCAATGGTGGAGTCGGAGCAAGTTTTTCTGCTTCTTTCAGAGCAAGTGTGTTCCAATGACAGAGTGAGAGCGAGTCAAAAGTTCCAATGAGAGAACCGGAGGGGATTCAGAGCGGGAGTCCCTCCGTGGAGCAGGAAAAACTGCTCCGCCGAAATCGGTGGAGTGGACCGAAACTTAGCGCGACGCATTTCCTTTAACACGTTTGCCTGCTTGGGGGCGCGGCTGGCGCCGCGCCAGCATCACGCAAGTTGTGTTGATAATGGCGGACGGCATGGACGGCTCGGCAGCAAAGCGTGCGGCAATGCTTCTGCTACTCGATAGCGACAGCAGACATCGTGGACAATAGCTGTTGCACGCTTGGCGTGATATCCATTCCACACAGGTGAATAGCGCTGAACAAGCAAACGAACGATGCGGCGATGCTGGTAAACCACGTGGGAAACAGACAGCGGAAGTATCCTGGGTAACGCGGCAGCTTCCGCCTTGCTTCAGCTGGGCGGGTTGTGCACCTTTCTTTATTTCTCTATGGGTTGTGTTCCGAAGGCGGATTTGCTCTACGCCAGAGTCGAGTGCTCGCTCGCGAAGTCGGTCGGCTGCACCGACTCCGCCATTGGAATTCAACACTAGTTACTCCTTGCGGCGCTATCGTCCGGCGCCGCGGGCAGGTTTGCTATGGGCCCCTCGGGACGCGTCCAGGGTGAAGCACGCCGCTACGCGTTACCTTGTGTTCGTTATGTTTATTGAGTGAATGTGGACTGTATAATGCTGTGTTCTAGCGTGTCGATCACTAGTGATGTATTTGATTCGGCTGACGATATCGTGGTGGTAAAAGCAATTAAATGTCTGGTTTGGTCCGACCGTGTCAACTGTGTTCCGAGAGCGACATTCTCATTTCGACACCCCACAGAAGCCTTTGCCAAATGTTGAAAGCTACCGTCTTGGTGCTCATTCCGCGCCTCCTCTTCTCTTTGCAACACAATTACATTGCCATTTGAGACTAGCTAATTGGCGAAAACTCTTGTGCTTCGGACCACTGCAAATGGGCAGTGTCCCTATGCGAATTTGTCTCCATGAACAAGACAACGAAAATCTGCCTAGCCAGAACTACAAGCCCTTTTTTATTCTGAAAGCGCAGTATGTTGCTACACAAGCACAACTCCACACTTGGAGTAAGATTGCAGGCAACAGATCACAATGATGCACTAGGTGCAGACCTTCCACGCACAGTGTTAAGTGAAGAAAAAGAAAACACAATTCCCAGCCATTGCACAACGTCCATCAAAAAGCAGTGTGGCAAAATGGGCGCTTGTTATGGGGATACAAAAATTTCGGCTTGCACTAGTTTACCTTTGTACAGCCAAGCATGGTGACCAACCCGGTGTCATGAACGAGTGTCGCATCTCTGGGTTGCAATGCCCTTCAACCAACCTAATAACCAGATCTCGTGCAAATTACTTGGTGGTTCAATACAGCTAGCTCGAGTGAACTTTATTGGGCACATTCCAGGGGAAGGTGAAGTAAAATTTAGACGCAACCATGTTTTTATCTTTTGTACTTTATTAGTTTTGGAAGCACCTTTTTTTTTTTTTGCTTACCTTTTCTCTGCTATGCCAATGCCAGAAGATAAACGTTAAACTGCAGTGAAAGTGACTAGTCCAAAGCTTTGTTATTGAAAAGGCCTCGCATTCCATGAACCTCTGGTGCATGAAGCTGTTTGTGCATATATACCAATGCAGCTGTTCCAACCTGCTGCAAATGATTGGTTATGGTGGGAAAAAAATGCACACTTATCAAGACGTCAAAGAGCTTTTATCCCATGTGATCCTACTAGGATAAATTTTGCTGCTTTTAAAACTTCCCTGATAATGAGGAGCTCATTCTGTAAATGGCATTATTTTTGGTGCTTATGCTAATCCTCAACTTCTTAAAGAACTCAGGATGCACTTGAAGACTTTTTGCAAAGCACTAAGAACGACTTTAGAGCCAACATTGGCACTGTAAGCAACAGTTGTCCAATTAACTAGGAAGTTGCACTTGCCTTAGTCACATATCTGGAGATAGTGAATCCTCAATTTCTCTGTCACCCAGAGTCATTGTGCTAAACCTTAAAATACTAATTTTGTCAGCTCATGTAATGCCTTTCTTGCTTGCATAGTTAAGGAGAAAAAATACATAAAAAGAGTCGATTTGGTTTCACCACAAGATACAAAAACTTATCCCATACTAAAAATGGGCAAAGGTAATTAAGTGTGCTTGTTTGGAAACATGTGGTACAAAACAGGAGGCAGCTGATTATGCATTTACTGGGTTTTAGAGAGTGACATCGCAACATTTGTTAGCTATCTCTTGCATGGTCTGTGGTTGTACACAGCCCACTCAAGAGAAGTAGGCAATCAGTTTGCAGTTTCATCTTTTAATGCTTTTGACTGCTTATTTGTCTTTTATTTTGTTCTGAAGCTTAAAATCTGGTATTGAAAGTGACAATGTAATAGTTACATTAAAAATAATGAGGCAGCAAAATGGGGTTGAGAGGGAAGGTGAATCGAAAGAAGAGGGTTATATATACAAGGCGCATAATGGTTGTCGGTGGTGCACAGACGAGCATGCAGGCGAGGTGATAATGATGGCTTGAGGTGTCTCCTAAAATGTGAAGCCGCGTAGAGAAGTGTCGCACTTTTCTCCTCTGCAATCCTTGGCACGCTTACGGACCTTGTACCAGCACGCACCTATCGCTGGTGATCGGGTCTGACGTGCTTATGCACAATTCTCATGGCAGAGTCCTTTCTGTGTCTGTACATGTGGTGGGATGGAAAAAGCGATGCCAACTCTTCTTTTTGTATTCTGGCATTGGAAGCTGCATAAAAACACAGAGCCCAACATTGTTTGTCCCGGCAGCCCAATGAGAGTCCATAAAATAAAAACACACCAACAAAAACAGGCACAGAACTTATCTACAGATACAATACCTCCAGGGGAGTATCAAAAGAAATGGAGAAGGCCCAATGGTTGCAAAACACATGTAGAGACAGAAAGAGAACAAACAAAAACAAATACTCTTCCTTGTGGTGATATAGTCTGTTTTGCTGGAGAGGGAGAGAATGTATATGACAGTACTAAATCACTGTACTGCTGTGATAGGCAAACAATTATCATCACACATTCAGTGTGTTAGATGCTACACAGCCAATGTCACCGAGGCGTATTTGAGAAGAGATGAAAAATGCCGATCTAGCATGGCCACAGGTGAAGCTGAAGGTCTGGTGGATGCTAAGAGAGACTGTACAACGTGTGCGTGTTCTGCCTTCCCGAGTTGTGTGCTCCCAATGTGAAGAGTGCTGCGGTACAGGGCACAATGGTGGCCAGAGTGACTGGCAAAGCAGACATAGAGATTTTCCTGCAAACATGCACAGCCTTCCTTTCCTTGGAGCTTGGGACACCAGACATCGGAGTCCTAGGCGCTTATGAGTTTAGTGCTCCCACTGGTTCCTGCGGCCCCTCCAGCCACTGGGGGGACCTCCGCGCTGCCGGTACTCGCCACTACGCCCGCCACCGCTCCAGCCGGCCTGCGGTGGGCCCTTCCAGTACGGGTCACCAGCAGTACTCCACTGAGGGGGAGGCGGATAGCCCGGTGGAACGATGCCTGGGGGTGCTCCGTAAGCAGAGGGGTCTAGGGGTGGTGGCGGGCCGTACATGCCAGGAGTTGGCGGCACCAGGTTTGCTGGCGGTGCCATACTGGCAGACGGGTGTGGTGGGGGCATGCTGGTTGGTGGCATACCGGCAGGTGGCAATCCTGCCGGGGGCAGGCTTGCGGGCGGAGGAGCACCGTAAACGGGAGGCGGAGGAGGGGCAGCCGGTGCTGCGATGGGCTGTTGCAGTTGAGGCTGCTGCACGACAACATTGGGCGGGGGTGGCGCTTCCATCTCCTCAAGCTGCTTGCGTGCCATCTCCATCAGTTCGCTAGCAGACTTGGCACCGAGTTGGCTGCCCGACGACGAAGACACTGTCACGAGTGGTGATACGGAGACGACGGGGCTTGACGTAGAGGCCGACTGCAATGCAGATGCCACAGCCTTTCGCCTCCGTGGGTCCTGTGGCCGGGAGACGTCCTCGTTGACCAGCTCGTCCTTGGTGGGCGTGCCCGGAGACCGTGACACACCTACCATGGTGCCTCTTGCTGAGGTTGCCACGCCCGCAGTGCCAGGCGGCGAGTCTCCAATGCCTGGAGGTGGTGGTGTGGCACCGGCACCTTCAGCATCAGATTCAGTAGCCACGTCGTCGTCCGCAAAGTGACGCACAATCGGGTCCTCAGTGAGAGTCTTCTTAGCCCCCAGAGGGCTCTGCATGTGTTGAGGTGACCCAACTGCTGCGATGGCTGAAGTGACCAGAGGCCCTGATGAGGACAGCAGCGTGCCCAGGACATCACTCATGATGGAACTAGTTGAAGATGATGCCTGCTGCGGCATTGGTGCTTTAACCTTATTGAGCAACTCTTGCAGGCTCGATGGTAAGCTGCAGCCACCCGAGGATGTTCCAGTGCCACTGAGAAAGGACAGACCAGTGTCGGTGGGCAATGAGCTGTCCAGGAAGGGAATGCCAGAAGCTTCGACAGGCTGTGCCTCGCTCGGAGTCGCAGGCTGTGGAGGGGTGGACGATGATGCTTTGCCCATCGACAACTGAATAGCCTGCAAGCGCTGAAGCTCAATTTGCCGCTTCTGCTCTTCCACCTGCACGAAGAAAAATGTGAACGTCACAAACTTGAGATGACACGAATGCATCATATTCGAGTAGTGATAGTGGCAATGCTGTCTTTGAGAACAAGGTTCTAACCATGCCGACTATAAATGTCAATACTCACTGCAAACGAACACCAAGCCACTTTCAGAAGACAGTTTGCAGACTACAGTAGAACATCGTTGATGTTTTTGAAAAAAAAAAACACACATACAATCCTGGAAGATACATGATCCGAATCACGTAAAAATTGAGACGGACAGGCCCACATTGATGTGCAAGGGCAAAAAACATTTATAGAGGGACTCTGTTTCTTTCAACTTCTGGCATCTTTCTGGCAGCCAGAGGTCAGCCATCTAGCTCTGGTCCTGGACAGGAAAGAATGATCATATGCATTTGAGATACAATCACGCACGTTTACAAGTTCCCGCTTAACTCCGCCAGTCTGCGAACAAAACTGCCACTCCACTAATGGCTTAACAAGCTTAACTGTGTGCAGTGTAACTCTGTGCAGTGCCTGGCAGACAAGAGCTTGGAAGAAAAAGGAGACTTAGAAAGAAAGGAAGTAGTCTTTTTTCCTTCCAAGTATTCGCTCTTTGCCAGATGTCAAACTAACTAGCCCAACAACTCGCTATTCTGTGTAGTAAACATAACGATTGCGGTAAAACAGAATATGCGAAATTTCGAGAAAATGATAAGCAGAAACTGGCTTATAGGCAAACGCCTACTTTCTTCCTAGAATTTCTATAGTACCAGTTTGACATAAGAGCATAAACTAAAGGATAAGACGGGCTTTTGTAGTGTTTTTATAGTGCCTAGAAATGCCTACCTATTTTTGGTGTTCCTATCTAAATGTCTATAAGTGCCTATCAACACCTATTTTTCAATCAGCGTGTTACAATTGGCTTTGAGATATTGAAATGGCGCCCTCTTAAGGGTGTCGTCACCAAGGGGACTCTGCTTTCAGACGTGTTGCAGCAGCTGCTGCTCCTATGCGCTAATCGTCTGCTTTAGGCGAAAGCATTGTGGAACGAACAGCTTCGAGAGGTTCCACTAACACCAGCAACGAATGTTTTCAAGTATTTCAGTTGTAGCCCAATAGACAGGGCCAATAAATTTTCCGGATGGCCGACGAGCCCGCTGATACCACTGACCGCATGGTTTGTTGACACAACAGATGACACAACAGAAGCTGTTGGAGACGGTGCGTTCGCAGACTGCGACGAACTGAACACTGCCTGGAGACTGTTGGTGCCAGTGGAATCGCGTACAGTGACTACGCTTCTGTTGACGACGCCGTTGTCACCTCCGCGATGTTATCCGTCAATGACATCGTGGCTGAGTGGGCCGATCTGTGCGCCAGTGACGAGGAAGCTGAGGAGGAGGTGGAGCGGATACTGGAGCCAACGTCCTCATCGACGGTGCAGCACTGGATTTTTTGCGAAGATATGTGCGCACCAGTGACGATGGCGAGAGCCACATGGCACTACAGGTGCTTGAAAAACGCCTTGTGCTTGTCGGGCGTGAGAAGATGCGTCAGGAAATGCTGCATGATTTTTTCAAGTGAAAGAATTAAAATAAAACTATGTGCAGTTCACCACTACTCTAACTTCTCAATTTTTCGCGTTTCTCGGCTCCTACGTTTTTTTTTTACTGTCCCGTGAAAAACGTATCAGCGGGGTTCTACTGTACCAGCATCTCTCATAATCATATGGTGGTTTTGCGACGTTAAACACCACATGTCAGTCATCATATTAATGCCGCACAGGCTCACTGCTTGGGTATTAAAGTATAACAAACAATTATTGCTGATTATATATGCAGCATACAGGGGCAAAGGTAAGCTGGGTAGAGTTTCTGTTCACGCATGTGGCACAACAAAAGCTCAAAGAGCTCCACTTAAAGCGTGTGCGCTGCCTGAGGTAAGAACCTTTAGAGAATGTGCCTTCAACACTGACTGCAGGTTTCGCTTATGAATTTATGTAAGTAATGCGCTAGGCACGTGCTTGTTTTTATCAGTGAACTACGTGTATACCGTATTTACTCGTGTAATCATCGCACTCGCACAATTCTCGCACCCCCCACATCGCCCAACAAAAATACGATTTCTTTTTTTCCTCGAGTAATCGCACCCCCGAAAACTGCTGCAATAATGTCGTCTGCTCTTTCCAGCCACTGATGATGATAGCGCACGTCATCTGGTGCCATCTCTTAAGCATCAAGCGTACTATTGCACAGAGATTCAATCCAACTCAAGCGAAGCCGAAGTGGCCAGTGCGTGTTGCGGCGTGTTTTGTATGTTGCATCGGTAACCTTGTTAAGTTATGAGGCGATACTGAAGCTATACGGCTGCTTTCAAGTTGCAAGTGATAGACAATGCACTAAAGAACGGCAACAGGGCCGCCGGTAGGCCCTTGGGATTGATGGTAAACTTTATTTTTTAAGGAAACTGCAGACAATTCTGTTAAATAGCCATCAGCCCAATACTGACATACCACGCTTACCTTTTGAGGGCTCCTGTTGAGCGACGAACGCTACCGCTACGCCCGCAACGTCCGCAAGCTTTGCGTAAGGTATTCTAATTCTCGACTATTTGCTTCCACTTTTTGTGTCTCAATTTAATCTTGTCTTGTGTTGAACCTCTGCTTTTATTGTTGAGGTAAGTTTTAATTAGTACTTCTTAAAGCTTGCTGTTAGTTGTTTGTGTGAAAATCCCGATTTGCGGCCACTTCGTTTTCTTTTTCGCTCTGTACGTTTTCGTAGAAAGTTTTCCCCGCGTAATTCTCGCACCCCCCAACTTTTCATCGGTTTTCCGGCAAAAAAAGTGCGAGGATTATGCGAGTAAATACGGTATGTACATACACCAATCAAATAAAGCCGTGGACTCCTGCGCCATTGAGCTGCACTCACGAGGCGATTTGGAAGCCGCCTCTTCGGCTCCCTAGGGGCTTTCTTGGTAGGTTTTGCGACGGCACATGGCGCAAGTCGCTTATTCTTGTAGCCTCTGCGCAATATATTACTCAAGTACTGTTGGGGCACTCAAACGCGGTTATACCAGAAGTCACTGTCAGTGAAGTGCTTGCTGCACACGGTTGGTGAAGGCGTGGGGCGCTTTCCCGTTCTTCAGGTCCTTAGGGTAGCTGTAAAAGCTCACGACCTTTTCAAGGGCAATTGTACAGAGGCATAGAGCCCCGTCGTGCTTCACTGTTGCGCAGCATTTGCCCCGTAGAGACAAGACTCTGCAGTGTTAAGAAAAATTGCTGTGCTTTTAAAATATACGTTAAAAGCGGAGACTTATGGTAGTTTGCACAGCTTTGGCAGCCACCACGCACAAAATAACCAACTGAATTGCTCCTTTATCAAGTTATACCACGACTGTGGTTTCTATATGGCGCAGGGCCATGAAATGAAAGTGCACAAATCCCCATGTTGACGTTATACACGCAAGATTCACAGCACCGCCACCGGTCGCACACCAGACAGACAGTGAGCACTATATAAGTCCAAGTTTTGTTTTCATGTGCGGTTTGAAACCCTCATTCATGTAGAAAGGTAACATTGACCTTTCCAAACACTATGAGGTTCAACGAAGTCCTTTAGTTCTACCAACTTCCGAAAAACAGCCGCTAACTGCAGTGAAATGGGACTCTGTGGCCACCCCACGACATGTAGCGAGCAGTTGGAGAACAAAAGACGCTGTTTCTGCAGTCTTAAATAGAAGCATGTCTTGGCGCCTGCAGGAGAATGAGAAGGGAGAATTAAAGATGGGATTTTTATTTATTTATTTATTTAAGTACACTGCAGACCTTCTCGGTCCAAGCAGAAGTGGTACATAGGATATACAAACAATGATGTCACGTACAGAAAGGCACCCACACAATCCAAGAAAAGAGAAAAAAACTATTGAATTCCAAGTAGCCAAAACAACAGTGTCATAATGCAACGTTCAGAATCATGCTAAAAGGACAAACCAGTCAAAGGGAAAGAAACTGCTCACAATAAATCCCTATTCGTACATTTGCGTCTATTGTTCAGAACTTATAGTTTTAATCTTTTCAATAAAGGATTCTACAGTGTCACAGTTCACAGCTATTAATGGAAGTTGATTCCAATATGCGATTGATGACGGAAAAACAGAGTTTTTGTGAATGTTGTCGTGACTTGTGGGCAGTCGTATTGTCTTATTGTGGTTAGTTCTCGTGGAATGCCTGAAAGGTTCAAGAAGATAGTCTGATCTGGATATTGTATATTTCCCATGATAAAGAAGATACAGGAATTTAAGTTTAGAATGTGTGCTCCGTTTGGAAAGGCAATGAAGTTCGGCTCTTTTACGCAGATTAGTAACACTGGTATACCTGGAGTAATCGGGAAACACAAATCAAACTGCTAAGTTTTGCACTCGCTCAATTTTACTAATGAGAAATTTATGATGTGGACTCCAAATTATATTGGCGTATTCTAGTGCTGGTCTAATCAGGGTCTTATAGGCGGTTAGCTTTACTGCAGGGGGAGTGTTACGGAGTTTTCTCTTTAGGAAGCCCAATTTACCTTGCGCTTTCGAACAAATAGCAGTTATATGTGGATCACAATTAAGGTTGGATGCTAATGTAACTCCCAAATATTTAACTTGATTGCTTTTAGTTATTTCTAAATTGTCTATTGTATAAGCAAATTTGAGTGGTTTTTTCTTATTCGTGAAAGTTATGGCTACGGTTTTCCGCGCGTTCAATGTCATTCCCCACTGGGAACACCAGGCTTGAATTTTTGTTAATGAGTGATTAAGGTTAATCTGGTCCTCAGTTCGATTTACCCTTGTGTAAACAACGCAGTCATCTGCGAAAAGCCTTGTTTGAACGGGTGAGTCAATGACCATAGGAATGTCGTTGATGTAGATAAGAAACAAAATTGGTGCTAAGACTGATCCTTGTGGTACGCCCGAAAGGACGTTCAGGCGGTTTGACGTGTGGTTGTTCACAGCGACAAACTGCTTGCG